CGATCTTACTTTTGGTATTTAAAGCGACTATCGTCGCTGTAATGCCATGGGTTTATGCTTAAAACTTAAAGCTTAACAAGTGTTTAATTCTTGCAATTCGATTATTGCTCTTACATGTACCAAGAAATCCGCAAGTTACTTTTATAAAGAGTCCAAACATAAAAAATGTATATCTGATTCCTTCAGGTACCATCATGAATAGGACATGCCAATCAATAATGCTGGGTCACTTGAGATTACGTCTACAGTCCCTTTAAGTCACGTGACCCTGGATCCTACAAAATTTGCAAAAACCGATATTCAGGACTTCCGATATTAAAGCCCGATAAAATTGAAACAAAATCATAAATAGATAAAATGATAAATATTAATCCATTTCAAGACTATTGACGATGAAATTAAAATCTGATCATGTTTAAATTAATAAATGTTGACATAATTCACTCTAATTAGTCTAATCTGATCTGATCAATTCTAATTTGTAAAATTAAGATGTCTACTCTAATCTACTACTGGATACCATCTTGGACATATCAAATTATTCAATCAATTCAATTCCATTTCTACATAAACTTAATCAACACTTTTCACATATCATCAAAAGTATTAAATTTTAAAAAGGATTTTTAAAAGTTCATTTTTATTTTATATTCTCATTTTAAATATATTTTTAGTATTTCGATAGTGGCAGAAAAAAGGAATCCTTTAAAAATGAGTATCAAAAGTTAGCTGACGAAAATTAGAGCTTTTTTAACCCTATTCCTGCTGGGGGAATGGTCAAGGGCTTTTCAAAAATGTATAATTTTTCATTTTTTGGAAAAAATTTTTTTGCAAACATTTTTACTTTAAAACTGGATTTTGCGATAAAAAATTCAATTTTTGCAAATTTGCAATTTTTTAGGCAGATTCTAAAAGTAGAGCACAAGAGCTTTCTAATGATGTATCATTTGTCATATTTGGACATATAAAACATGGAATTTAGAGCGTTATCCTGGTTTTCAAGTACCCCAGCAGAGATAGGGTTAAGTTTATGGATTCAAAACGTCGTAAAGCTACGACTAAAAGATGGTTTTGAAATCTTAATAATCAGGCCAAGGTTGAATAATGTTCTCAGGGAAGAATTAAAGGTCACATAAATTTCACTAGAAGGTGATCATTCATTTGGTGTGCACTGTCCCATTCATTTGATGTGCACTGTCCCATTCATTTGGTGTGCACTGTCCCATTCATTTGGTGTGCACTGTCCCATTCATTTGGTGTGCACTGTCCCATTCATTTGGTGTGCACTGTCCCATTCATTTGGTGTGCACTGTCCCATTCATTTGGTGTGCACTGTCCCATTCATTTGGTGTGCACTGTCCCATTTTCCTGGGAATCCGACATCTTTGAAAAGTCCTTGCCCATGCCAATTCAAATATGCAAAAAGTTTAGCAAAATTTTAAATAACCATGATGTGTTATAAAGAAAAACTAAAAATGTGAAAATTTCTTTGGACGGGTTGTATGCAGCAATTTTGAAAACATTTCTTTTCAAAACTTGTCATAGGCTTTCCAAAAAGTTAAAAGTATCAAAATCTGACAACTGAAAGGCAGTGTGCCTGAGGACAAAGGCAGTTAGTACAAAAGGGAGGGCTATGGGTATTTAGGAAAAGTCAGAAGACCAATACTCTTTTTGAGTTGTGTAAAAAAAAATACAGTTGACCCCCCCCCCATCTCCAGCAGAAATAGGGTTAAAGAACAGAAATAACGGTAAGCAACCCTGACAAAAAATGACAGAAAATTTGGTTCACTTCATGTCTAACCCGTTATTACTGAACAAATATTGAGAAAAGTACTAATCTGCACTGCACTGGGCTGGGTGGGCCTGGAAACCTTTAAAAGTTGTAAGCGTTGGTTAGTTTTTTCTTGAATATGTGTATTTATTAAGTGTTCTGTGTAACATTAAACCCCCTGGCGATATATCTGTCACCGCACTGTAAATATAGAAGTCCTGTGGGACCTCTTCTTTGAATATATTGTTGCAACCTAGATAAATTCTTAAAACCACCTTTTCCAAACCATAGAATTCACAAATATTTTATTGGTGTAAATATACATTTCTCACAATTTCCTGGTTAGAAATGTAAATATCAGGATTCTTTTTTCTTAGTTTTTCTTGGATGTAAAGTTTATGAATTTTTATGTCTGTTTCATTTTTCTCAAAAGAATTAAAACCTTTCTTGTTTTCTCCTTCTTCTTATTACTTTTGTTCTTGTTCTTGTTCTTGTTAAATTTTTCTTGTTCTTTGTCTTGTTTTTTTCTTTTCCTTGTTCTTGTTCTTGTTCTTGTTCTTGTTCTTGTTCTTGTTCTTGTTTTTGTTCTTGTTCTTGTTCTATTTCTTGTTCTACTTCTTGTTCTTTAGTTCCTGTTCTAGTTCTTGTCCTAGTACTTAATCTTGTTCTTGTTCTAGTTCTTGTCCATGTTCTTGTTCTTGTTCTTGTTCTTCTTCTTGTTCCTGTTTGTTATCTTAAAATGTCAAAAAGTGAGTTAATGAATAATTGAATAAGTTGAATAAAGATCTGAAAGATCCTGAATAAATGTCAAAATATACCTCGATACCTCTTTACAAACATTTTAAAATCCAAATCAGAAGCATAATCTTAAATTATTAATTGATTGCTGATATTTTGTAACTATTAAATCTATAAAAAATTGAAGATTTGATCATAATTAGTCTTAACAAATTATAAAATGCCCTTATAATTAGTCTGCAATATCTATATAAATATTTAAATTCTAAAAAAATATCAATCCAGAAAAGTTCTGAATCTTCTAAAAAAAGATTTAACAGACCATGTCAAAAAACACTGAACATTGTCAATGAAGTCTGTACAGGCCGTTTTAACGTTCACTGTTTCAAGCTTTAAAATTATGTAAAAAGATGAAATTAAAATAACATTTAACCCTATTCCCGCTGGGGGGGGGGCAATTTGACCCCCCCCTGTTGTTTTTTTTACATAACTCAAAAAGTATTGGTCTGAGGCTAAAGTAGAGCACAAGAGCTTTCCAATGATGTATCATTTGTCATATTTGAACATCAAACATGGGATTTAGAGGGGGGGGGGTCAAATTGACCCCCCCCAGCGTATCCTGGTTTTCAAGTACCCCAGCAGGGATAGGGTTAAATTGTTTAATTACGCATATACATCTTTTTACCAGATTAGTGTTATGAAGGTTAATAATGAAAGATTAATAGTGTTTTGATTGTTTCTGTTTAGTGATTAATTAATAAAATGTATTTTCAAGAAAACATACTTATTAATTAATGTAGTTAATACATTTCTACAGAAAGCCTCTTAGATTACTGAAAGGATATAAAAAAGGGGGGCGAGGGGGGGTTACTTTTTCCAAAAATATATGTTGATAAGATTAGAAAGGATAATTTTTTGGCGTCCGAAAATTAATTTTTAGAATATTGCATGACATGATATTACAATTTAGATTAGTATCGTCTGGTCAAAAATTCAAAATTGTTTTAGAAATTTTAAAACAATTATACGCGGTACATTTACATACATATAAATACAAATTATACGGGGTACATTTACATACATATAAATACAAATTATCTATATAATCAAGTTTCAACACTTTTTTTAATGCATGATTTCTTTTGATACCTCTATTTTACAGTTATTATTTTATACGCTGTTTTACGAACTAGCTTCCCATTATTTAAATATTTAAATCAGCTGCCCGACCCGGGATTTTGTTTTCTTTCTAATATATCTTACAAATTCGTTATTAAAATTTCTATCAGTTAAATAAGGGCAGTTTTTTTCTCTACTGCCAAAGAGATTATTTTTCTTAAAGTACTGAATCAGGCAGAACTACAGTTTTAAAAATGGCGCCAAGACAGGGACTGGTTATTATTCATTCAAAAACAGTGCCAAAAATGGACGGGGGCAAAAAGAAGCAAGGCAAAATAAGAACCTCCGGACAAAAAAGTTGAATATAAATATTAACTAAATTGTAAGATAAAAAACGTATTTTATTCCTTCTAAGATAACATGAAGTTAAACAGAATTAATATTATCTATTAAAAGTACACTTCAATATTTAATAAACACGGAACCTGATACAACCTGACCTTCCAATACAATCCTGCAAAAACCTTAAACAATGAATAGATATTTGATACAATGAAAGCCAAAAAATTGTAGACTAGGAAGGCGACATGAAAAGCAATTCAAAAAGTGTATTAGAAAGCAAATAGTTTTACAAGTAACTAATAAAATAATTTATTTAGTGAAATGGGTTTATGCACACTACATAATTGCTGTGTCTCTTGTTCTATTTAAAGTCAAACTTGAGACTAAAGGTCGTCTTACTATTCTAGAGTTTTCTAGTTCTCAGTAGTCTATGAAAAAGAAATAAATGAATCAAATAATTATCTGGTTTTCTCAAGTCAATTGCTAGTATAAAAGTCAAGGGCCAATTTCTTTAGTTACAGAGGTTGGTGTGCAATGTTTGACGTATGTATGTGCCTAAATATATTTTTTGCTCAATAAAAAAATCACTGCAATCTATCTGCAAGAGGAGAAGCTAAAATAAAACTTTGTACATCGTAACTCATCTCTAAAAGCAAGTTTGTTACTTATTATAGAAAGTCAAAACTTTTTTTTTAATAGCAAACTGAGTTATGATTAAAATCATTTACGATTTCAATCTTAAAGAGAGTGTTCGCGAAAAATGAAAGGGGGTATAGGCTTACGGCGATAAATAATCGCTTTTGATCGCTACTAATCTTTCTTCTATCTGTTGCGTCAATAATGAGAAAATTGTTAAAAACGTTTTATACTCCTATTACTCCGTCTTTTAGACATGAAAATCTATTTACTGTACTGTAATTGATTTTGTTTTCTATTTTTTTAACTCCCAATTTATAGGCTTAAGATTAAGGTTGATTATGTAAAACAACAACAGTAAATAAGATAAAGTCACCCGGAGGAAAATAAAGATAAGAGTTTATATTTTGATAAATAACATAAATTCTTGATGCCTTCCTATCCTCTCAAATATGTTGAGTAAGCTGGTTGGACTCGGGCTTCTAGCCCTCGTGGCTACACAGGTCAACACAAGAACGGTGAACTTTGGAGTGTATCAGTAACCCCCCCCCTTCCATCACACGGGGATTCAGATATTCCGGAGGCCGCAATTTAAAAGCTTAGTCTCAAATATAAATCTCGTAGTGTCAGCTTTAACGTTCAAAGTTAAACCCGGCATGTCGAGTTTATTGGTTTTTAGATAAGAACCAACTCTAAGAAAAATTGTCCCGAGGCTAGCCTTGCCTGAGAACCTTCAGTTTAGTGACCTTTTATATCCAATTTTAATTCGATTTGATCTAATACTCTATATCTTTGATGGATAATAACAGTTCAAATCGTGACTGCGTTTACTTTGTACATTTTTAGATCAATTGTTAGTTAAGAGTGATAGATTCATTTATTGTAAAACATGTATTTGGACACGCACATAAAATTGATGAAAAGATTGTTACTATCAATTAATAATTTTCAAAAATTAACTTTTATAGGACACCCACTACTGCCCTGATGGGTTTGAAGTTAGTGAAGTTGAAGGTAATGTTGAGTGTATTCTACTTGGGGGACTTCAAGAACGAGTAACTAAGGTAACAAGGGGAAATATTAATTAAAATCCTAACTATTCGCCTCGCCAGATAACAAGATTACGAACATTTTATTAAAATTACGCGTGTTGGGGGTTTGAAATTGTGTGAGGTATCCCTAAAATTCTGTTCATAACATCAAACACATTTCTTGGTTTTGAAATACTTGCGGTAGTTCGAACAATATTATAAGGAACAAAATCTTTTTTTCTAAAAGTCACCTTCTAAACCTACTAAACCTATTAAACCTACTAAACCTACTAAACCTGCTAAACCTACCTAAAAATGAAATATTATTGACGAAAATGTAATCGTCTAAGAATTTAATGCAGGGTGTCCCAGGAAACATGACAGTTACTGCATTAGATATAAAAGACTTTTTGCAGTTTTTTTTTTTATAAAAATGTTTAACTTATATATATTTTACTGTAAAATTATTTTTACTGTCATATCACTGTCATATAAAAAGATTAGTTTCTTTAGTGTCAAACAACTCTTCAAATTATGGAAAAAGACATTTTTAACTTTTTATCCACTGTCATGTTTAGTGGGACACCCTGTATTTAATACAGGATAAGGTTTGATTGTAAAAAAGTATCAAATATTAAGATAGGAAATTGGTGAACCACATTTTGAAATTCCCAGGATTAAGAGAATATTATCTCTTTGAGTTTATTACTAGATATTTTATTTTACGAATGAAATCAGCATAAACCTCAGTTGACAAAAAAACTTTTATTCTGACAAAAACAATATTTTTGTCTCGAAATGGCCTTTTCTTTGTCTCGCCAATTTTAGACAAACACTAGGGAACGGATTTGACACAAAATGTTGTGATTAATCAAGATTATTTACAGCACGATGCCGAAATTCTTTGTGGTGCGCATGACGGTAACCTTGTCACTATGGACGAAGGACATGGAGGACAAAAGAATGAAAAGATCAAGGTAAAATTTCCCTGAATAGCGTCTGTTCCATCCAATCACTTGTCTGATGGTTTGGTAAACTGCACAGGGATCCAATGGTTGCAGGCTTTCACGCAAAATCGATGAGATTTTGCCAATTACTCTTTAAAAACTAAATCCAAAAGCAAGAGCTTTCAATTTACAATATTGGGCTACGAAAAAAGTACAAGTCCGTTAGATGAGGTAAAATCATATGCCAGTCTAAACTTGAATCAGTCCTGAAAATTGTTTCATAGTTGGATCTAGCCTTGGATCTAGCTATATGTTATGAGCTAATATTCCATATCTTTGGCGTATCGTTACTTTTAACTATTTAAGAATATTTTTAAATTGTTGTAGAAAAGACAAGTGCTCTTGAGAGACAATTTAACTGCGTTTAATGTTCATAACTTGAGTCTGGTCTAAACGATTTTATGCTTAAAGATTTTAAATATTTGTAATTTAAGTAATAAATACATATATTTTAGAAAATGATTGCTGATAAGGCAGGACAGGGAAGTATCGGAATTCCAGGACTCCAGTAAGTATTTTCACATTTTATATTACCGAAGAACATAGGAATCATTTAATGATATAAGGCGACTTGAAAGTCTTCTTTAAAAGTGAACGAGAAAGAGCATGCATCAAAAAAATTATGCGTCAAATGAGTTTACTAATATAAATATATACTTCTTCTATATTTAAAATTGACGGAGATATTTGTTTTTATGTAATTTAAATCATGGAACACAAGTTTTACTTAATTTTCATTATTATTTATATATTATTTATATTTATACATTGTAGAGTGAAGAAGTAGAAGAAAAATATGATTTGCTTCTTTAGAAAAATTAATAAATATGTTTAAATATTGTTATTTGGTTCAGAGCTATCTGTGATACCTACGGAATTTATATAATAAAGTCATTTGTTTTTGTGTATGTATATATATATATATATATATATGTTAGCTATAGCTAACCAAACAGCTGGACCAGATGGGCTGATTTTTATAGGGAACCCATGAAAAAAACCGGGGGTAACATAGGGTGTAAAAAATTTGATTTTTTTCAAAAATCGAATTTTTTAAAGATCAAAATTTTTAGTTTCAAAAATCACTTCAAAATTACACGGGCACTTCAGCTAGTGTATAATAAAACTTCTCTGTCCATCTGAACGATCCCCTTTAAAGGAATACGATCTGTCTGAACTGTACACGAAGACGATATTCAGGTATGACGAGCAGTGGTGGATCGGAGCAACTGTACGAGGACATCATAACGAGAACAATTGGGGAAACTGGGTCTGGGACGAGCATAACACCAGCGTCACATGGTAAACTCTCGTCTGCACTGTAAACTAAGCTAGTTGGGTCAAATAGGCTTATTGCTGTGGTTTAGAGGTCTCATGCTTTCAAGCAAAAATCAATGAGAATTTTGCCAATTACTTTTTAAAAACCAAAGCTAACAACAAGTACTTTATAGTGCTAAAAGCGCCATTAAAGTTGAATCAAAGCCTGCATAGGATAATGTCAGGCCGGTACTTGCTGCCCGTCATTAGGTATGGTAGAAGGGGTCGGTCCGGTACTTGCTGCGCGTCATTAAGGATGGTAGAAGGGGTCGGTCCGGTTGGAATTAAAATTGACCCTAGTTCACCGTGTCTGTAGACTGTTCAATAACGAATTAGATTCACAACGATACTCTTTTCGTTTCTCGAAAGATTCCTGTCCAAATGCTTTTCTTTCCTAAAGGATACCAATTTGAATCATTGATGAAAGGGTTAAATAATATTTCAATTTATAATACCTTGATGCCTTCAGAAGTTTTTGAAATTCCCTGAAACTTCGAAAATTCTACAAAGTAATAATATTACTCAGGTTTGATTGGATGAAAGATGAACCTAATGATTGGCAGGGACAAAATTGTCTTACTTTTGTAAAAGATCAGGTAGAGTAATGATTAAATACTAATAATTGTAATA